CAAACATCAACAGATAAACGAAGATCAAAATTATACCAACTATCTTCTCTGATCACAAAGGCATCAAACTAAAAATAAGCCATGAAAAGAAGGCAAGGAACCCTCCCACTTCATGGCGATTGAAACCCACACACTGGAAGACCATTGGATTAATGAGGAGATCATAGAGAAATTAAGAAATACTTTGAGATGAATGACAATGAGGACACAACTTTCCAGAATGTGTAGGACACAGCAAAAGCAGTAATAAGAGGAAGGTATATAGAAATACAGGCTCACATCAAGAAACAAGAAAGAAATCAAAGAAACAACCTAATCTCCCATCTCAAAGAACTAGAAAAATAACAACAACAAAAAACACCTAAAAGCCAGTAGAAGGAAAAAATAAAGATAAAAGCAGAAATAAACAAAATATAAACTAAAAAGACAATCCAAAAGATCAACGAAACCAAAAGTTGGTTCTTCGGGAAAAAAATAAACAATAGACAAACCTCTAGCCAGGCTCATGAAGAAAAAACAGCAGGAGAAAACACAAACAAAAAGGATCCTAAATGAAAGAGGAGAAATTACAACAGACTCAGCAGAAATCAAAAGAATAATCAGAGATTACTCTGAGTATTTATATGCAAACAAGTCCAACAATCTAAAAGAAATGTACAAATTCCTAGAACTATATAATCACCCAAGGTTAGACAAAGAAGAAATAGAACACCTAAACAGACCAATTACAAGCATTAAAATGGAAAGAGAAATCAAAAACAAAAGCCCAAGACAAGATGGCTTCACAAATGAATTCTACCAAATGTTCAGAAATGTACTCGTGCCTATCCCACACAAACGCTTTCAAACAATTGAGAAGGAATACTACCGAAAACGCTTTATGAAGCCAGCATTACACTACCACCAAAACCAAAGAAAGACAACACACACCAAAAAAACTATAGGCCAATCTCCCTAATGAACACTGATACAAAAATCCTCAATAAAATCCTAGCCAACAGAAACCAACAATGCATCAAAAGCATAATGCACCAGGACCAAGAGGGATTTATTCCAGGGGCACAAGGATAGTTCAACATCTGAAAATCAATTAATGTAATCCAACATATTAGCAAAAAGAAAAGTAAAAACCATATGATCATATCAATAGAAAGCATTTGGTAAAGTTCAACCTCCATTTATGATGAAGGCATTCGAAATTCTCAGGATAGAAGGAACACGCATTAACATAATAAAAGCCATATATAACAAAACCACAGCCAACATTATTCTCAATGGTGAAATGGGGAACGCTGTCATTTAAGTCAGGAACAAGACAAGGATGTCCACTATCACTACTGCTTTTCAATATAATACTGAAAGTCCTAGCCAGGGCTCTATGACAAGAGAAAGACATACAAGGAATCCAAATAGGGAAAGAAGAAGTAAAATCATCACTATTTGCAGATGACATGAAAGAGAACCCTAAAAACTCCACAGAAGAACTAATTAAAAGAATAAACCAGTTTAGTAAAGTAGCAGGATACAAAATCACACAAAAATCAGTAGCCTTCCTACATGCAATCAATCTGAAGAAGAAATTAAGAAAACCATCACGTTTACAATTGAAACAAAAAAAATCAAATACTTGGGAATAAACCTAAAAAAGTATGTGAGTGACCTACACAAAGAAAATTCTAAAACACTGTTAAAAGAAATAGAAGAAGACACAAAGAAATGGAAAGACATGCCCTGCTCATGGATTGGAAGAATTAATATTATTAAAATGACCATCCTACTGTAAGCAATTTACAGATTCAATGCAATCCTGATAAAAATCTCAATGACATTCTTCAAAGAAATAGAACAAATATTGATGATAGAGGGAGCCACCTAATACCTCAAATAGCCAAAGCTCTCCTGACTAACAAGAAGGAGAATGGAGGTATCATATTCCCAGACTTCAAGCTATACTACAAAGCCATAATAATTAAAACAGGATGGTACTGGAACAAAAACAGACACACAAACCAATGAAATAGAATAGAAAAACCCAGAAATAAAGCCACACATTTATGAACAACTAATCTTTGACAAGGGAGCAAAGAATACGCAATGGAACAAGGACAGCTTGTTCAATAATGGTGCTGGGAAAACTGGGCCACCACTTGCAAATGAATGAAACTAGACTACTACCTTACACCATGCACAAAAAAACCAACTCAAAATGGATAAAAGAATTGAATGTAATACCTGAAACCATAAAATATATAGAAGGTATAGACAAAAACCTACATGACATACATCTCAGTAACATCTTTAAAGACACATCCCCCAAAGCAAAGAAAGTGAAGGAAAAGATAAACAGCTGAGATCACATCAAACTAAAAAGCTTCTATACGGCAAAAGAGACATTAACCAAAACAAAGAGACACACTACTGATTGGCAGTAAATTTTTGCACTCCATACAATTGATCTACAAAGAGCTCACATGACTCAACAAAAGCAAAGCAAACAATTAAGTCAAAAAACGGACAGAAGAGCTAAACAGACACTTCTCCAAAGAGGAAATGTTAATGGCCAACAGGTACGGGAAAAAATGTTCAACATCACTTATAATCAGGGAAATGCAAATCAAAACCACAGTGAGATACCACCTTACACCACTGAAAATGGCACATATTAAAAAAACTGGCAACAACAAATGTTGGCGAGGATGTGGAGAAAAAGGAACTCTCCTACACTGCTGGTGGGAGCGCAAACTGGCCCAACCACTGTGGAAAGCTGTGTGCAGGTTTCTCAAACTACTGAAAATGGAGCTACCATATGACCCAGCAATTCCACTCCTACCCAAAGGACACAAAAACATTAATTCAAAAGGATACTGCAGGGCCTCCCCGGTGGCGCAGCGGTTGAGCGCCGGGTTGCGAAGCTGCCCACAGCCTCTGCAGCGCCGGTTCGATCCCCAGCTGCTCCCCGGCCACCGGAGGAGGGTCCCACATGGCGCGCAGACCTCTCCTGCCGCCCTCTGCTCCCCTCAGCAGTGTACTTCGGTCCTTCTGCCTGCTCTGCTCCCTGCTCTGGCTCTGGTGAATTCTCTCACCCTCCTGCGCTTCTGACTGTACCCAGTGCTTGTATAAAGTATAAATAAATAAATCTTTAAAAATAAATAAATAAATAAAATTTTAAAAAAAGAGGATACTGCACCCCAATGTTTATTGCAGCACTATTTACAATAGGTAAGATATGGAAACAACCCAAATGCCCAAAAATACATGACAGGATCAAGAAGATGTGGTACATATACACAATGGAATACTATTTAGCAATGAAAAAAGATAAACTCATGCCATTCGTAGCAACATGGATGGAGCTAGAAGGAATTATGCTCAGTGAAATAAGCCAGAAGGAAAAAGAAAAAAAATATCAAATGATTTCACTTATATGAGGAATACAGGCAACAAAATAAGGGATCAGGAAAAAATATATAATGATAACAATAAATAAAAAAACAAAATTAGCAGAAAATCATAAATCAGAGACATTCCTCAAGGGAGAGGGAGGAAGAATGATCAAAAAAGGGGAGAGTAGAGCACAAGAGACTGTGGTGATGGTTCACAGGTAAATTGGTGGTGGGCATTTTAGAGGAATACACCTAAAAGAAGAAAGCATACAAGCACACATTGTACAAAAATGAACAATGATGTTTTATATATATATATAAAACCTCCTGCCTCTGAGGTGACCCAGGCTCCTGTGAGCTGGGCCTTGGAGGTTGCAGAGCTAAATCCTGCCGAATTGCAAACACTGAAATATCACTCAGTTCTAGGGACGGGAGAGCAGCACACCTGAGCACCACTCCCAGGCTCTTGACATCAGGTGGTAAACGGAATAGCCAGGGGTAAATGAATGAATCAAACTAGCAGTGGCACCTGCAGGCCACTCAGGAAGATCACCTTCCAGAAAGATGGCAAAGTCTAGCTGGGCCAGTGAAAGAGCACCCAGTCATGACCAAGCCACCTCCAATCCAGGAGAGGTCACCACTGGGTTCTTGATGGTGCCTGTGAAGAGGAAGACTGCCAGAGGCTCCCATTTTAATTACTAGGCTTTAAAAAATTGCTATGGTCTGAATGGGTCCCCCTCAAAATTCATATTGATATTCTAACCTCCAAAGGTGATGCTATTAGAAGGTGGGGCCTGGGGGTGACAGAGTAGGTCCTGAGGGTGGCGCCATTATAAATGAAATCAGTGCCCTTAATAGGAACCCCACAGAGTCCTCACCCTTTCCCACCATATGGGGCAACGCAAGAATTCTGTAACCTGGAAAAGGACGCCCAAGGACCATGCTGCACCCTGTTCTTGGACTTCCAGCATATAGAACTATGAACAATAAATGTCTGTTGCTTGCAAATTACCCAGAATCCCAATCTGTGGGATTCTATTTTAGCAGTCCAAAGGACTTAGACAATATATATACATAAATGTATATTCAGTGTAAATGTTTAGAATACACAAGGAGAAAAATAAAACAAAAACCCAGTAATTCTACCACCCAGATTATTCCCCCAACCCATTCAGATCATCGAATATTCCACTCAGAAGATTTTTCCATTCCTAAGTTTGTCTAACCAATTGCCTACTGCCGAACATTTAAGTAATTTCCAGACCTTCCTCACAATTTACGACGCAGTGACTAACCGTCAAGGTCCATCCTCGGAATCTAGCCTAATCAGAACATATCATTGCTGATTCAGTCACCATATACAATTTCAGGGCAAATGAACAGAATGAGACCAGCTGCACCTCGCCCTCCACCACCACCAGGGCCACACCCATCTACACTCCCCACTTGCTGTCAGGCAAACTCCCCCTCCATAGGAGAGGGCCAGGATACTGTGCCCATGACACTAGGATGCCTCCACCACTGTAGAGTCCAACATCCTGTCCCCTGTGCAGCAGCCAGTGCTATTTCCCCTTGGATGAACTCTGCATCCTTCCTGCTACTACTCAGGGACCTTACCTTGTTTTTGAAGTACACCTCGATGGGCATGATGAAGCCAGCATAACCAGACTCTTCCACTTTGTAGGGGGGCTCCTTGCACACTAAAAGGAGAAAACACACCAGTCAGCTTCTTGCCCATTCAAAGGTCCAGCACCCCCAGCAGTAAGCATGCTACTGCTCTGTTCCTCCTCCTGCGTGTAGCTGGCTTCGAAACAGGGCAGATTTTCAGGAGGCCAACCCCTGCACCCCCCTTACCCCCTAAACTTCCAGGAGGACTGAGTCTGGCACCAAATTCCATGTTGAAGGGATTACGGAAAGTTCAAGAAGGGCAAAGCAACAGACAAGGGAATCCACCTCAGAAGCAGGAAAGTGGTGTGAGTTAGGCTAAGGCAGAGCTGCCAGTGTGGGCAACAGACTATACAAGCTCACCCAGCTCTAGGCTGTGTGACCTGAGTGAGGTGTGAGACCCAGCAAAGCCCCAGTCTCCCAGGCAGGGGCTTCTACCTCTTTCCATTGCTCACTCAAGCACAAGAACAGAGGCCCAGCCAGTGTCACAGACAGGACACAGGGGCACAGAGATGGACCAGTCTCCACTGAGCCTCTACCCTGGACTATGATTTAGGGTCTAAGAAAAATATTCCTAGCTCACTCAATGAGAGATTCATGAACTTGAGTTTTTTTAAAAACATTAAAATTAAGAAGAAGCATGCCATCCTTCCTCGTGATGAGCCCTAACACAAACCTGAGTTTCATCCTCCAGAATGAACTGTCACTGTTTTAACATATATGCTGTCATTAGGCCAAATAACAGGGAAATACTGTTCTCTGCTTTTAGGAAGTAAGAACTGTAAAGATCAAGTCCCCCTAGTCCTCCACCTCTCCCTCTCTAGGAGCAATTGCTCTTGGGAGATGGGGGGGCGGGGACACAACACCTTATCAATGATTAAAAACCTTAATATAAATATGTCTGTATTAGGTTATTCATCAGTGGGCCAGAAATTGCCAGAAAAGGGAACACAAAGCTACATGAGTTTTTCCAATTAAAATGTAAAGGTTTTCTTAGAAAAAAATATTTCAGTTTTCAAATATCTCATCAAATGTATCTCAAATATCTCATAAATCTATGCAAACAAAACTGGTAAGCAGGGTAGATGTGGAATCACCAGAGGCCCTCAAGGGCAGGGCTGCTAGATAGTCATGACAAGGGACCCAAGTCTGCAAGTGCAGGGAAGGAGCTTATGGCTCCTGTTTGTAGACATCCCCCCATGGCCCCACAAATCAGGGGTGCCACAGAAGGATACTGCAGGGTAGACACAAGGTATTGAGTATAAGAGGCCATGGCTCCAGGTACCTTTCCCAAGACTCCCTCTGTCCCATCACCTCTCCCTCCCTGCCGAAGCCCCACCCTTTCACTGGTAGATGCTTACCATCTCCCCCATCATTGAGGATAAAGTTCAAACTTTCATGCTGGTAAGTTAATAGAAATATTTTTTGGATTTGAAAAAACAAAAACTAAACCAATTTGTTTCTACTACTTTAAGGTGCAAAGGAAGGACATGAAGGATAGAGAGACTGCCCCTGGGTGGTCTAAACTCCCAGAGTATACACTTCTGTTTGGTTTGTTATGTGTATAAATATTTAATTCAAAAGGTACATTTTAATATATACGGTATACTTTGGAGGCGGGAGTCCTATTAGAAATTCACTCACTCTCCAATCTGATCTATTTTTCATTTAAAACTGACAAGATATAATCCAGCAACAGGGAATTTTGAAAAAATTCCTCTAAAACAGTTGCCCTTTGCCAACAAGTGGAATTCAGCTATTAAAGTCTTTCCACAAACTCACACTTTAGAAAGCGCACCTCACCTTCTGCCCCACTTTTCAGGCACTTGGAGCTCAGAGAAAGTGTCCCTTACACATGTATGACCACCAGCAGGTGACAGAGCATCCCTGAACCCCCACTTCCATATCTACCTCGTAGGGACCCAGGAGGCTGTCGCCACACAGCACCTGGCACAGACCAAGTTTGTGATAAACACAGATTGTTATTAATGACTTCCAGCAGTTGCTTGGTTACTGACATGGACAGGAAAAGCCATGAAATAAACTATACAGGTAGATGGAAATCATCCTCTTGAGTCTGTCCTAGAGAAAAAGGGAGAGGTCAACAGGGAGATGGTGAAGGACTGAACTAGAAGCTGCGGAAAAAGCAAGCAACGGAAGGCTCAACCCGGGAGAGGGAGAGAGACTCCCAGTCTACTCCAGTGTCAAGCACAAAAGCAACCTTGGAGGGCATCTACAAGGGTGAGCGTGGCCACGTTCCTATAAAAACAGGCAGTGCCCACCTGGCCCCCAATCGGGTTTAGAGACACCCTAGCCTAAATCACAGGTAGCTCCCCTGGTTCCTCTGGGCCTGTCTCCCCACTGTAAGAAGGCTGGGGGGAGAATGAATGACCTCAGACCCTGCATGTGAAAAAGAGCTTAGTGGGAAGGGCCCATAAGTGGCACGTGTTATTAAGAGGTGCTTTGTAACTATCTGACATTGTCAGTAGACCAGATCCGCTATCCTAGCAGAGGCTCTGTAGGAACAAAGGAAAGGGAGAGGTGAAGACTCAGGAAAGGAGATGACAGAAAAGGATATCTGAAAGCTGATACAAGAGACCAGAAGAGAAAGAAACACTAGGAATCTCAAGTTAACTTCCCTTCCGAACCAAAAGTTTCTATTTCTGTAAATACATCATTTCCTGCTAGATAGATGGTAAGCCCCATGCTGGTGCAGGCGTCCAGGTTGCTGCGAGGATGTGCTCCTGCTTCAGCCCAAGGGGTCCATGCTAGCTCCTGGCTCAGCACTGGCCTCGCCCCCTGCCACCAATCACTGTATTGCCAGGGTCACAATCCCACAGAGGCTCTCCCAGCCCTGAAGCACTTTTCTAGTACATGGCCCTTTGGTCCTTTACCAACATAACCCACATGAAATATTTACTGGCCCCTATTTGATATGCCAGGGCCCTGGGGACTCAATGGTGAGAGAAGCAAATGTGGATGCCCCCTCCACACAGGGCTCAAGACACAATCACAAGCTTCATTCCCAATTCCCCTAGAAGTGTTCTCCAACGCCCATAAACTGGGTGACTTCCCACCTCTCTGCCCCGTCAGATGTGTCCTCTGAAGGTCAGGACCCCCCAGGCACAGGTAATGGAAATATCTGTGGAACACAGTCAGGCGTCCTCCATGACAGGGATGTCAGTAGGTGATTTCTGTGCTGTGTGAACATCAGGGTGTACTGACACAAACCTAGACGGCAAGCCGACGCCACACCTAGGCTTGATGGTATAGCCTACGGGACCCCTGTCATATAAGCAGTCCATTTGTGACAGAACATTAGATGACATGTGCGCATGAATGAGGCAGCCTGAGGGATAAAGTAGGGGAGGAACATACGTGAGAAATAAGACAGAAGCAAAATGTAGTCTTTTTAATGCTTTTTTGCCCCAAATACCATGAACATTTTTCATCCAACGTAGGCCCAACAAGCAATTTCCTGATTACTCATCGGGGACGTGTAAGCTACCCTGCCCACCCACTAGCCACTGGCTACATCCTCAAATCCTGATTCTAACCAATGACGCATGACACCGTCACCATCTCCTCTGGGTTTTCCCTAGATCAACCAGGAGAAGCAGGAGGAGGACCATCCCAGGGTCAGAGCAGGGCCACATGCTCACTGGGCAGCCTTTTCCAAGGCACACGAAGGAGCACTGGCTGGAACCTCACTGAGCTCGGGCACTGCTGCTCCCCAGGAGAAGGTGAAAACAAGCCCTTCAAGGAGAGAACTCAACTGGGCTAGTGTCACAGGCATGTGGCCGCGCAGGGCTCTGGGCCAGCGCTCACTCACCACGCTTGGGCTTGGGGAAGCTGTCGTGCAGCCGGAAGACCACCTTCTCCACGAAGTGCTGGATCTCACATTGCTCCGGGCCACGGACAAACACCATCCAGTCATGAGTGAACCCCTCCATGGTGGGCTTCTTCCTCAGTTGGGCTCGATGTCCCAGCTCTAACTTGACCTGGACCGTACACTGTAGGGAGCAAGAGGGAGGGAGGGGTCAGCACAAAGTCCAGAGCAGGGGCCTGTGAGCTGCTGGGCCCCATCTCCAAGAGCGCAGGCAACACTGGCTGCATGAAATGCAAAGACTCCTGAGTAGCGAAGCAGTCATGTGCTTCTAACCAAAACCCAGAGCTCAAGCAATTTCTGTGTGCTTATGTGGACCAGGTGGACCAGGCATGGTGCTAAGCTCTTCATAGGTCTCCTTCCCCAGCAAACCCACACCAAGCCCTGCATCTTCCCCCTCGTCCTCTCCATCCCAGCCCACACAGCCCCCCTGCTGTTGTTCAAATAAGCCAAGTTCATTTCTGCCTCAGGGTCTTGAAACCTGTGGGTCCCTCTTAGAGATTTGGGTGCTCTTTCTATGGAGGCTCCAGGCAAGGAGGTTCCTCATGGCTGGTTCCTTCTCACCACTGAGCAATCAGTTTGACAGCTGCCTCCTCAGCGAAGCCTTCCCTGAAGGCTCTCAACCAAGCTAGAAGCCATCACTACCATCTCCTCATGCTGTATCCCATGCCTTATCTTAGCACTCTTCACCATCAGAACCCATCTTACTATTGGTCCCTCTCCCTCTAACAGGGGCTCCTTGGAGATAGTCCCATGTCTGGAGCTGGAATCCTCACCAAGATCTCCCAGAATACAAAGGTGCAATCAACCTACTTATGGATGAGGAAACCAAGGGTCCAAGAGGGAGCTGCTAAGAGGCACATGCAAGGTTGCTCAGCTAGCCGAGAGCGGAGCCCAGATGTGTCAACCCCAATCATCTGCTTGTTACCTTTGCAACTCTGCCAGCCTGCCTCCTGGAGCAAACCACCCTTTGATAAAGCGTTTCCTTCTCCTCCATCCTACAGAATACTCTCTGGAGAACAGAAACCCTGGTCAGTGACCTGAGTCATCTGCACAAACTCCAGCTTTCACTTTTAAAAGCTGAAAGGTGGTTCCCAGTGAGGTTGGCGAGACAAGCAAGAAGTCACATGGGGACAGGGCCCAGGTGGTCCTGCAGTCCCACAGTCCGGCTTATTTGGCTTATTTCCCCTGAAATACAAGGCAGCTTGTGCTAGTCCCACTCTGCTGAATACAAAGCCACAAAACTTCAAAGCACTCACAACACCTAGATTGGTCAAAACCAGGGTAACTGCTGGAAATAGTCACTCTAGTCTGTGAAATCCTCCCCAGACTTCAGACAGACACAGCCAACTTCAAGCAGCAAATGCAAGAATGTTACAAAGAAAGTAGAGGCCAAGTGGACACTTGTTTCTAAAAGCTGAGATAACCAGGAGCTACTCTGTTGCCCTCACTTCCCAAAGAAGAAACCTCCCACTCTGCGCTTCCCACCCTTTCTCACCAACTGGATGCCTGTGTCCCCAGGCTGCCGTCCCTCCCACAGCTGCCTCTGCGCTGATTCCTGACACAGTCACAAACTGCCACCAAGCCAGTGTCCTCTCGCTGCTCTCAGCCATTGCAGTGAAAGCAAGGCAAGTAGACGTCATGGCTCACCCTGTTTTAAAGCTTTGGAGGGCTCACCACTCCCTCTTCATAAAACCCAAGCCTCAGCATACCTCTGGCTCCCAGCTGTCAAGTCTGAACGACATGCTCGTGATTTTTCACATTTTAACCCTTCTGAAGTGGGAGCACATCTTGCAGTCTGAGGACCCCATGGTGTGTACACATGCACACAAAGAAACTGTCATTAAGTTAGTGGGGTACCTTAGAGGTGCAAAACTGAAGAGGCACGGGAAATGCACACCCCCTACCTTCCTCCTCAATCAGAGGCCTGCCAATCCCAAACACATGGATGCCCACTCCTGCCCACCTGTACGCCTCTGGCCCACAGCCAGGGGAGCCCCACACGCCTGTCTCTGATGGAAATTCCACTCACCCCAGAAGCCGAGTTCTGAAGTTACCTTCTCCAGAGACCTTCTGGACCACCATAATGGCAGCCAAGCAGCCCCTCAGCCTCTCCACAGCAACAGGGTAACAAGCAGCCCAAAGGCACCATTCCATCCTGATCCCTGTTCACTGTTCCTCCCCAGGGGCCACACCGCCCTCATCCTTTCAGCCTCTACTTTGGAGCCACGGTACACAAGGCACCAATAACACTGGGTGAAATGAACTAGAAAGGCTCCCTAGATGAGCAAATTCTAAGTAGTGCTTTCCAAGAGGAAGGCCGGTGGGGGCGGGGGGGTGGAATAAGGATCAGGCGGTCCCAATGCACAGGAGGCTCTGGGCACTCAGTGAGGCATCTGTAAGAGGGAGTTGCCCAGGCACAGGAAGGCAATCCCTGTGGAGCTACTGGCGGAAAAGCAGGGACACCCTGGGACCACAAGGTCCACTGAAGGGAGGGCTGGAACAGAGATGGGTAGTCAGACTCAACAGAGCAGTAATAACAATCAAGTATAAGGAGCTGATGTCCTGGAGAAGACAGTACCCGAGGGGAAGTGTCGGGGCACCGGTCTGGGATGAAGGCAGAGAAGGACAGCCCGAGAGCAAACAGCAGCAGGCCCACTAGGAGGCAACCGGAGGCAGGGCTAGAAAAGGCTTAAGTGGCGCCTGAAAGTTAAGTGGAGCCTGAAATGGGAGAACTGGCTGGACCAATGTGTAGACAGAGATGACACAGGAGACTCAAATAATTCCAAGTCCCAGGTAGCTAGGACCAGGTAAATAACAAGCGACACGCAGGGGGAAGGGAGAAAAGGATTAGGGACCTTCAAGGGGAAATACCCTGCCAAGAGCTAGAGACAAGGGACTGTCTGGATAAACAAATAACACTCAGATCAACACAGCATCTTCCCGCACAGCACTGCATACAGACAACGTTTAACAAAAATAAGCTCCAACAGTATTTACGTTATCCCAAATAGGCTGCAATGACCATATATACTTATGTGTAACAAACTGTGCCTTTTACTCTGATCTGTTTTCACACTGAGAAATCAGAGACAATCCCTGGATCACTGGGAGGCTTACAGGGGAAGAGCAAATTTGTATAATCATAACAATAATGCCCTGGAAAATGACTTTAGGTTCCTTGGAGTTAACGCCTACTCAATGTTGCCTTCAGTTGTCATTCACCAATCCAACTCCTCCAACCTCAGCTGCCTTCCCACCATTTCTGATTACAAGGATTTCCTCACCAGGGCACACAAGTGGCAGAGCAGTTATTGTGAAAGAACAGAGACCACAGTTCCATCGAAGAGGGGAAAAATAGAAGCACCGAAAACATGCTCCAGAGGCCAAAGTAAACAGGAAGGTTCTGAAGCTGCGATGGGTAATCTCTGCAGCTGCCATGCCCATTGGCATCTATGCCTCTGGGGCTGGCACTGACTCAGCCTCAACACCCCTCAGGTTCAAGGTGCCAAAGCCTGCGACTGAGGTTCACTCAGGAGAGGAACGCTCTTCCAAATACTGGACTCTTCTAAGAAATAAAAATGATGGAATAACACAGGTTCTGGGCCACTATATCAAAAAAGAAATTACCAATTCACTTAGACACTCAAGTTACCTTGAACTGCAGGCAAGCAAGTAGCTGAGCCCTGGCCAACGACTTTAACTTGTCAAGTCATGATAATTTATTAGCACAGCTAAGCCAATTCCAACTCCAAGGGTTCCACACCCTCCTTCCCCATCCATTAGAACCAAGGAACTGAAGTGTATCAGGCAGCTTTCCTGTAAGAAAGGTGCTTAGCTAAAGTAGCAAACTGCCAGTTAGGTTAAGCACAGACTTCCTTGAAAGGACAGAATCTCACCTGTCCCATCAGCTACTTAGAAGGAATTTGCGGATCCTCCAGAATGAAAGGCTGAAAGTCGCCTCAGTGACTGCTATGTCAGCACCACTTTGCTACCTACTTCCCCAACAAAAGCCTGGAACAAAGGAGAATATTCCAGTCCTGCCTCTGAAAGGTTAACTATTTTACTTCTGGGAAATCATCTGAAAGACCCGTGGGTACAGATGAAGTGATACAAGGCTCTGAGGATCAGGGATACAAGGCTCTGAGGATCACCAGGAAGCTTAAGCAGAGGGCCTCAGCATGCGTACTGTCCTCTCTCCAAGCCACTGTCAGAGGGCAGCTGGAATGCTAAGTCCTGAAGTCAGACAAAAGGACCCTGGAGGGTGGCTTCCCAACTACTTCTTCACTAGAGAGCAAAGATACCACCAGGTGGGACCTCCCTGGTGGTGCAAGAGGTTAATTAAGCACCACACTATGAAGCAATCCCCAGCCTCTGCAGCAAGAGTTCGATCCCCGGCCAGGGTGCTACCCACATGGCGCAGCAGACCTCTCCTGTCTCGCCTGCTGCTCCCCTCAGCAGTGTATTTCAGTCAGTCTGCCTGTTCTGCTCCCCACTCTGTCTCTGGTAAATCCTCTCATGTCCCCCCATCCCGCGTCTCTGGCCTGTACTCCAGCTTTTGTATGCATAAATAAATCTTTAAAAAAAATAAAAAGATACCAAGTGTGTGCTCCAAAGGCCCTCACCTGGCAGAGAAACAACTCCACCCACTTCAAAGCTTTTTCTTCACTGAATCCTTCCCATGTCCCTCAAACTCTGCCCTCAGCCTAAGCCCCAGAAGGCAGGTCTTTAACAACTCAGTTTATCTGTAAGACTTCCCCTGATTTTCTGGTGGGAATTCTCTTCCACAGATGTCTCTTCCTCTGGGAATTTGCACTTTACCTAGTAGTATAATTATACCTGGAGTTTGGCGACTGCATCTAATTCCCTCAGATGCAACAATTCCCTCCCCTCCCAGGAGGAGAAAGCACCTGAGGTTGTTCCCTCATCAGTCTCTATTGATTTTGCCAAGTCCAACTGGACCCAGCAGAGCAGCTGGCAAGATGGTCCCCACACACACAGAAATGGGGAAAGGTGCTAGTCTCTAGCACGCCAGCAAAACAACCAAGTAAAACACTTGACAGAACTTTCTCCTTCCAGACCCAGGCACTCAATCAGATGTGAGAAAGACGGGGAGTCAGCGGTGTCCCTCTGTGACAAACCTGTCAGGGGCAGGTCTACCTGCCCGGAAGGTGGGGCAGAAATCACAAAGGAGGGACAGCTCCGTGACAGCTGCAGAAGGTCCTGGGCTTCTAACCGCTGGCACTTGGAACTGGTGGCCAGCACCTGCACCCCACTTCTGGCCCCATTCAGTCCAGGGCACAAGGTTAATGACAAAGGGTATGAAGCTGCTCAATGAACGACTCTCTCTGGAAACTAAGTGTGTACACCATGGAGATATAAAAATACACCTATAATCCTCAGTTTTCAGGTTCCTGGGAAGACAGCCACCCCAGTCAGCTGAGGGAACCTGAAGATGAGTATGCAGACAGTGCACCTGGTGTCTCCAACGCTCTCTAGTGAGCAGCTTGAAGAATCAGCAAGGGTCAATTCAACCATCCGAGTCAGAGGGCTGGCCCTGCACCTCAGGGATCTAGGACAATCCTTCAGAGAACAAGACTGCCCAATGACCTAGACCCCATTCCCTAGGCAGCCCCTTCCCTAGGGGCGCACCAACCCTGGGAAATCCCCATATTTTCAGCATATGCCCAGTCTTCATCCATGCCCATTCTTCCCCTCATCTTTGGAGATAAACCAAAAATTGTTCCCCCACCAAAATAAATAAATCACCCTTCCCCCCCCCCGAAAATTTATTAGTCCCACAGAAACAGACATTTGAGTACAGGCTTGGGTTTGGGGGTTAATCAAAAAGATGCATTATAGACCATGCAAAGATGTTTTCCTGGCCAAAGGGAGCAGAATACAGAATCCCCCTTCTTAGCTAGGAAGTACAATAGGAAGGTAAAAGAGAATTAAAGCCTCCAACAGCAAGTGGGCCTGAGAGGAAAGTTCTGTTGCTTCCCATCACACAGAGGCACTGGCGGGTTTGGGCTTTGGGTGTCCTGGGGAAGAACAGGAAGACAGAGATTATGCTGCATTCAAAGTGTGCGCCTTGACCCACAAGTCACTCTGCAGCACTCCCAGCCAACTCACCTACTTGGAGAGCTGATCCCCTTCTTTACTGTCTCCCCAGCCGCCTGAGGTCTGGGAGGAATGGACAGCAGCTCTGGGACCCTTCCAGATTTGCATGAAAACATCACTGGGGGCTCAGTCTCAGACAGGTGCTAGCCATGCTTTCCTTCGGGAGCACTTGCCGACACTTATCAAGGAGCTAGACCAGCACTGTCCAGGGGAACTGTCAGCTATGACAGAAACGGTATCTCTGTGCTGCCCACTGACATGACAGGTAGCTCAGGAGTGATGGTGACTAGGCACTGGTGCAAGTGGGATCCTGACTTTTTCATGGAGCTCACTGAGATTTAAGTAGTCACAGGTGCTGGCGACTGCGGAACTGGCCGGTGGGGTTGCGCGCTCTCTGGTGGGCATGTTCATCAGTCCACTGAGCAGGAATGCCGCAGACCAAGAATACCACCATTTATTTCTAGTCCACTCCAGAAACGACAACTGCCCAGCCAGCCAGGGACCAGCACCTCACAAGGGGGACAGACACGTTCGGGTCCCCATCTCTACTCTCCCTGGGGATGAACAGCGGGGAGCCACCTCTATGCCTTTGTGATTCCAACCTAGACTCTCTCAGGAACGGACTTCATTACAAGTGGACACTGAAGGCATAACATTTTAATTTTTTAACTCCATAGGGATTGGCGGCAATAAGCTTTGTCCACTCATGAGAAATGAATCCACCATGCAACAGGGCTCCACCACTGCCATTCAACTGCAGTGAGCTTCCTGGGCACGCGAGGGAAAGGCAGCCACACCAAGCCAAAAGGGAAATCATGGAGAGAGGGTGCCAGGAGCACAAACCTCAGTGATCCTGTACCACCTCAGGCGACAGGCAGCTGGGATGAGCAGAGGGGAGTCTCCTGCCCCCACCCCTGAAACCTCACAAGAACATAGCGCCTTACCAGACAGCCGCCTCAGTGGCGCCAGCAGCCAGGGACGCCCCAACCTGCCCTCGCTAACGGCGGAGATTTCAGCTGCCACCCCCACACCGCCTTTCCTGGCCTCATGCCCCTGGAAGCCAGGGGCAGCAGGGGTGGATGAAGAAATAAATGATCCCATGTTGCAGGGAGCATATGGTTCTATGTTCAGGGAGGGGAAGGGTCTGGGCCGTGAAGAGGATGCACCAGAGCTGGAGAACGGGAACCGGGGCCAGAAGGGCCTGTTCAACAGAGAATGCGCTCTGGGCTTCCCAATCAAAGGACAAGGGGCCGCGGGTACAGTTTATGACTCTTTGGAGCCAGGCTCAGTGGAGACTCCAAAATATAGGGAAGGGGAAATGGAGTGCGGGGTAGGGGAGAGAATAGTCCAAAAGTCGCAACATCAGTATGGGGGATGTTGGCAGTGGGAGAGCCTGAAAGTAAGAGGAGGGGTTCTATGAAGGGAGGCGACTGAGGTTCAAACAAGCAGACTGAGGAGAGAAATCTAGATTGGGGGAGTATGTGGGAAAACACAAACCCCGGCCCCAGGGGGCAAAGAGGGCCCAAGCTCAGGGAAGTGAGGCATTTGGTGTCTGAAGGATCTGGGGTTTCCAGGCCAGAACAGAAACTGCCCTGGGCCTAACCTGAAAGAAAGGGGTCTAAAGGTGAGGGAACCCCTCAAGTGCTGGGGTCAGAGGGAGTGAACACAGCCTGAAGCCAGAGGGGACAAGGCAGCCTGGTGGGTGAAAGGAGTCTGCGGGAGCAAGCCCAGACTGAAAGAGGGGTGACACTCAACACAGGCCTGGGTCCTTGTGGGCAAAGACCCAAACCCAGCAAGGATTTGAGGGGAAACATGCTCAGGAAGAGGCAGGACTGGCGGGGGAGAGGGCTCGGGCCTGGAAGAGGATGAAGGGAAAGAAGGCTTAGGGTGGCCTCCAAGGAAGGAGGCTGCAGACCAAGTTCCCAGGGGTGCTGGGGAGCAGGAGGACTCAGGTACCAGCAAAGGCTTAAGGGAGAAGAGGCAGCAGGTTAGGGGCTCAGGAAGTTTGAGGGGACTCAGGGCTGAGGGCCCAGAGTGGGACGGAGACACAAACTGGCCCGGGGTTCAAAGCAGAAAGGAGCTACAAGCAGGATCTGAGACTCTGCGGGCTCCCTGGGGGTGTCTATGAGACCCTGGACAGAACTGGGGTCCCCTGGGATGTCCCGGGGTACTCTGGGCCGGAGTGAAGTCCCAAAGAGCATCCCAGAGGGGTCCGGGCGGCCTGCGGGGCCTCGGGGCTGGGCCGGAGTCCCGAGGAGCGTCCGGAGGGTTCTGGGGGAGACTGGGGTCACCGGGGGGCGTCCCAGGAGGGTCTGGGCCAGGCCGGGGCCAGAAAAGAGTCTCGGGGCGGGGAAAGGGTCTGGCCCGGCCTGGGGCTCCAGGGGCGTCCCCGGGGGCTCCGGGCCGGACCGGGCCAGAGTCCCCAGGGGCGTGAGCGGCGCTCCGGCCGGGCCGGGGTCGCGGATGGGGGAGGGGCGCCCCCGCCCCACATAAAGGCCCGGGGAGCGGCGGGCGCGCACAAAGCGGGCGGGCGGGCGGGCGTCGAGTGGGGGCGGGGAGGCCGGGACCGAGGAGGCCGGGCGTGCGGGCGGGAGGGGGAGGGAGGGGGCCGGGCGGGCAGCGCGGGCTGCGCAGGGGCGGCGCGGCCGCTCCTCACCTGATTGTCCATGGCTGGCGCCCCGCCCCGCCCCCGGGCCCCGCGTCGCTCGCCGCCGCTGCCGCCGCTCAGCGCCGCCCCGCCGCCCTCATTGTCTGTCAGGCGCCGCCGCCGCCGCTCCCGGCCGCCCGCCCGCCCGCCAGTCCCGCGGAACCGGAAACCACCGCCAGCCCGGGTCGCGCACCGACCGCGGGCCCCCGCCGCCGACTCGGGCCCGCCGCCTCGACTGACAACCAGCGGGGCCAATCCGCGGCGCGGACGGCCGCCCGGGGGGCGTGACTTCCTGCCTGGCGGGGGCCTGGCGGACCCGGGCCGGAGGGACGAAGCCGGCGACCAATGGGAGGCCGGGACCGGAGGGGCGGGGGGAGGGAGGGAGGGAGGCGCGAGGCAGCGCCGCCGCGGGGAGTGCGAGGTGTGCGCCGCACGTGGAGGGGGGCGGGGGCGGGGCGGGCGGGCGCGCCGTGGCCTGCAGGGGGCGCTGCCCCGCGGCCGGCGCACCCCCGGGCCAGAACTTCGGGGACGGGTTCGAGCCCCAGGCAGGGTTCCCGGAGCCACTTGTTTCCTTGGCGCGTGCCGCTATGTGGTGGAATGAATCAGAGGTTCTGAAATCGCACATTAATTTTGCGATCCTAGAGCTGCAGTGCGGCAAGCCTGGTCAACTCTTCTCTCCCCCTGAGCCTCACTTTGCACATCTGTAAAATGGGAACACTCACAGCCCATGGGAAGCTGTTCATGCTTGCGGCAAAGAACCTTTAAACTGCAATTACTGTAAAAATGCGTTTTAGGAAGGCAGCCCCGACCCACACTCATCTGGGAAGTTATCCTTAATTACTTTCTGAGGTATTGGAGGTTTTCAACATTGTATTCCTAGAGTTGCCACTAGGTCAGGTGTAACCCTTTGCACATCAAAAAGAATAATGGGAAAACACTCCCTGCTAGTGTCCATCAATAGATGAATGGCCGAACAAAATATAGTCCACCCACACAATAGAATATTACTCAGCATTTAAAGAGAAGGAAATTCTGACACATGCTACAACATGGATGAGCCTCGAGGCCATATTTAAATAAGCCAGACACAAAAGGACAAAATGCCGTAAGAGCACTCGACTCCACAGAGACAGGGAGCAGAAGAGTGGGTGCCAGGGGCTGGAGCATGGGTGGAGAGCTAGTGCTTAATGCGGACAGAGTTTCAATTTGGAAAGATGAGAAAGTTCTGGAGACAGAGGGTGGGAATGGCTGCACAACTGTGTGAGTGTGCTTCCTGCCACTGAACTGTGCACCTAAAAATGGTTAAGGGGATAAACTTTGCATTATATATTTTTACCACAATAAAAAAAAATGAGCTAATTGATACTGTGAGCTTTTAAATATCTCTAGGTCCAGAATGACACTGATGCAACAACAAATCTTACTTGTCATCTTTGCAAGTGACAACTGTATCAACCCACTCATCACCATACCTCTACAGCATTGGACCCCAGTTGGTGCAGGAAAACTTTGTACAGGAAAACACCAGCCAATCATATAGAAAGGGTGCGTAAATCAATAGTTTGAAAGCTTTACTGAAATGACCACTTCATACAAGAATCATTATGAATGCTAAAACCATTAACTGATAAGTTGCTATGGGGCTGGATAGTCTTATAACTACCAAAGACTCCCCTAACGTTGTCTGCTAGATGCAAAGGGAAGAACTTTCCAGTGGGAAACTTCAAAATAGCAGCACAACTATAGGAGAAGCAGGGGGAATAAGCTCCTGCTAGTGCTGGTGTGGAAAGACACACTAAAAAGTAAGTGTCTTGCACAGTAGCCTGACTTCCTCAAGTCAACAGCATGGAAGGGAAAAGAAAAACAGGGACTGACCAGGCTTACAAAAGATGGTATCATTTTCAATTGCAACGTGGGGTCCTTCATTGGATCTTGGGTTAGAAATAAATAGCTGAGGGCCTCCCCGGTGGCACGGCGGTTGAGCGCTGGGTTGCGAAGCTGCCCGCAGCCTCTGCGGCGCCGGTTCGATCCCCGGCTGCTCCCTGGCCACCGGAGGAGGGTCCCACATGGCGCGCAGACCTCTCCTGCCGCCCGCTGCTCCCCTCAGCAGTGTACTTCGGTCCTTCTGCCTGCTCTGCTTCCCGCTCTGGCTCTGGTGAATTCTCTCACCCTCCCGCGCTTCTGACTGTACCCAGTGCATGTATAAACAAACAAATAAATAAATACATAAATAAAAATACATGCCTCTTTAAAAAAAAAAAAGAAAGAAAGAAATAGCTGAATCAACTGGGGAAATCTGAACATGTATTATATTGGATGTTATTTTAAAATGTATTTGGTTAGGTGTGATAATGGGATTATCAGTGCGTAGGAAAATGTCCTCATATTTAGAGATGCATACGGTGAAATGCCACCCTGCTAATTACCTTTTCAATACATTCATAAAAAATAGATGACACAAATATAGTAAATGTTAAGAATCATTAAATCTAGATGATTGGTTATAGGAGTCCATCAAACTAGTGTTTTTATTTTTCTATATGTGTGGAATTTCTATAATAAAAAGTAAAACATTTTTTAAATCATCCTCTGCCTAAAATAGAACCACTGTATACTTTCTTCCAGGAGGTAAACAGAGATCTGTCCATTTTCTCATTAATGGTGGCCAGGTCATAACCAACACCCATTTCACAAGAGTGCCAGAGCATGAATTCTGAGCTGATACATTCTTGTTTCATCTTCACGATTCTAAGAGGCAGATGTTTTTGTCCCTACTTTATAGGCAAGAATATAAGGTTCAGGGGCAGTAAGTGAGCTGCTCAAAGTACATGTCTCCTGAATAAGGAAGACAGGAAAGACTTCGTGGTCATGGAGATGTTGGAGGTGAGGCTTGAATTGCATTGAAGGAGTGTTCTGATTTGTTTCAGAGAGATGCAGAATGTTTGGCCAATAAATTGGAAAGTAGGATTGTATAGGACTTTAATTGGGTTGTCAGCTGCTGCACAATCAACGACGCTAAGTGACTTAAAAGAGCCTTCCTTTATTTTTTTAATGAATCTACACTTGGGCTGGAGTCATCAGGGACAGCTTGTCTCTGCTTCTCAGGATATCAGCACCCAAGGCTGGAGACCAGCAAATTAGTGCCAGTCATTGGTTATTCTCCACATGGGCTTCTCCATGGGATAACTTGAGCTCCTTACAGCATGGTGGCCAGGATCCAAGCATGAATGTCCTAAGACAATCAGGCAATAACTGCATTGCTTTAGATGAACTAGCCTTCAAAGTCACATGGGAGCACTCATACCATACTCAGAGTCCGCACACACCCAAGGGCAAGGAACACAGTCTCTCATAAAGGAGCATAAAAGTCACGTGATGAGAAGAACATACAGACTGGAGATGTTGTCACAACCATTCTGGAAAATACAGTCTTCCAGCCATTAGCGCCAAAGTCTGAAATCCATTTCCTGGGTAATTATAGATAGTAATTATAGATGATGATTACACTGTTTCTTGAATACACCATATAAAGATGTCCCACCTGGCTGCTACCTCTGCTTGGAGCCTCAGAGAGCTACTTGGTTCACCTGTTTACCTATTTGCTCAAATTACACCCTCCTGATAAGATCTATCTTGAGGGCCTCCCCTGGTAGCACAGCGGCTGAGCGCTGGGCTGTGAAGCTGCCACCGGTGAGGGTCCCACATGGCACGCAGACCTCTCCTGCGCACACCCTCCTGCGCTTCTGACTGTACCCAGTGCTTGTATAAATAAATAAATAAATCTTTTTTAAAAATCTAACGTGACCACCCCCATTTAATTTCACCTCCACCCTAGCTCCCCAACCCTCTAACTTTTCATTTTTCCACAGCACTTATGGCCTATTATATACATATTTACTTACTAAGTACATTTTCCTTCCCTGGTTTGAACAGAAGTGCCAAGAGCATCTACTTGTGTTCATCGTTGTATCTCAAGCACAGTGCCTGGCATAAAGTAGGTGCTCAATAAATGCTTGTTGCACTAGATGGAATCATATTGAATTCCATAGAGAGAAGATTAGTGCCTTTTAATTATCCCTGTAGTCTTTCTAATTCCTTCAGTAAGAAAGCCTTGACTGGGTATTCACGTGTCTTCAACTCCCCATGGGCATCCTCTAATCTCCCATGAGGATAAGAGATCAGACCCAGAGTTCGGAGTCAGGGACAAGTGGCCACTTATGGAGCAGAACTTCTCAACCCTACCTGGACACTGAGGAATTTGAAAAAAAACCAACAGGCAAAAAAGAAAAATGTCTGGGTCCCACCTCCAGGGATTCTGGCTTTATTAATCTAGAGTAAAATAAAGCCAATTCCTCTCCTAACACCCCTTCTCTCTCTCTTTTTTAAATTCAGCTGGGGGGCCTCCCCGGTGCTGCAGCGGTTGAGTCTGGGCTGCGAAGCTGTCCGCAGCCTCCGCAGCACTGGTTTGATCCCCAGCCACCCAGTGAGGGTGCCACATGGCACGCAGACCTCTCCTGCTGCGCCCACTGCTCCCCTCAGCAGTGTATTTCATCATTCTGCCTGTTCTGCTCCCTGCTCTGTCTCTGGTGAATCCTCTTACCCTACCACGCTTCTAACTGTACCCAGTGCTTGTATAAAGTAAATAAATAAATCTTAAAGAAATAAAAATAAAAATAGGGCCTCCCCGGTGGCACGGCGGTTGAGCGCTGGGTTGCGAAGCTGCCCGCGCCTGAGGCGCCGGTTCGATCCCCGGCTGCTCCCCGGCCACTGGAGGAGGGTCTCACATGGCACGCAGACCTCTCCTGCCGCCTGCTGCTCCCCTCAGCAGTGTACTTCGGTCCTTCTGCCTGCTCTGCTCCCCGCTCTGGCTCTGGTGACTTCTCTCACCCTCCCGCGCTTTTGACTGTGCCCAGTGCATGTATAAACAAACAAACAAACAAACAAACAAATAAATAAAGCATGCCTCTATTTAAAAAAATAAAATAAAATAAAAATAAAAAAATAAATTCAGCAGGGATTCTAAAGTGCAGCCTGGGTTAAGAAATACTATGTTGCAGTTCATAACACTTCTTGTTGCTACTGTATCTAATCAAATGGTTATTTTTTATCTATGACAAATGACTTCTTAAAGTGACACAATGTCTTCTGTTTGAAATTT